CCAATGGCGGGAAAGATTGTGTCGGAGATAGTTCAGAAACACAAGCATGTGGGACAACACTGTGTCCAGGTAAGAAAGACAAATTGACTATGATATTTTATAAAGAATTTGCCGATACTAATATGAAGTTACATACTGTTATTATATCTTTAATTATAGTGGATGGTAAATGGTCTGATTGGAAGCCTTGGTCTCCTTGCCCTGTCACGTGTGGTGGAGGCAGCCAATCACGAACGCGTTCGTGTACAAACCCTGCTCCAGCCAATGGTGGGAAAGATTGTGTTGGAGAAAATTCAGAAACTCAAGAATGTGGGACCAAGCAGTGTCCAGGTAAAGAAATGAAAACTACAAGAAAATGATTAATTCGCCGCTTGAATTCTTAAAAACATCTTTTAACTTTTTGTGGATGGAAAATGGACAAGCCATAGCGTATTTGGTGCTTTTAGTTTTGTCACTTGATGAATGTCTTCTGTTTTCATTGCGTTAGTATATCCAGAAAACCTCTTTTACCGAAATTATTTCTTTAATGAAAAATGGCATGGCCAAACTCTTTCGAATTCTTCATGCTTGAAAATAGATTTCTTCATTGAATTAAGGATATGAAATAAATGTGATTATATTATTGCTTTAATAAATGTTTGTAAACGTAAGCTCATCCTTGTAGCCCACATTGTGTAAATTGTTTTACCAGGTTGCAAGATTGGTGAGTTGGCTCTTGACAAATGTAGCCAGCGTTGCGTGTGTGACTCATCCGGTTCTTTTGTCAACTGCACTCGTATCAGACAAGAATTTTCATCGATGTCTACAGCTGATCGTGAACGATACATCAACGCGGTAAAATTAGCATCTACTGACCCAAGGTTTGTCTGTGTATTAAGAATAAAATGTATAGCAAAGAGACACAGACATATTAGGTGATGGGATATGAAAGTGAATGATATGGGACTATAATTAAGGATCTTAATTAACCTGAAGATTTAAAAGAAAAATTAAGGTGCTATCTTATTAATAAATTCCAGCTACAAAACTGAGTATGACAACCTCATCACGATCCATAAAGTGTACTTCATGAAAGGAATCCATGGAAGGATGCATTTTCTGACATGGCATCGTTGGTTTATTCTTCAATATGAAAATCTCCTTAGACAAATAGATTGTAACATCACCGTACCTTACTGGGACTGGAGTGTGGTCTCCGGAAACCCCTGGGGAACTTCACCAAGTGATTTTTGGTATTCAGGAAACAGTGGTTTTGGTGGTAATGGTGTCCAGCCAACAGGTTGTGTACAGACGGGAGTTTTCAGGGAAGGTGCCTGGACGTTAGTACCATCTGCAGGACCTTCTAAATGCCTGAAAAGATTCCTTAATGGCCATCCTCCAGATAGCATCGCCATTGCTCAGTTACTAAAGCTTGATCCAAAGGATTTCAACTCTTTCGAGTTGGGTCTTCGAGTGAACTTCCACGATGTGGTGCATTGTTTGATTGATGGTACTATGTGTTCTTTCGACTCAGCAGCTGCTCCAGAATTCTTTATGCACCATGGATTTGTAGACAAGGTAATGCAATACATCAAAATACTTCCCTGAAACAATATTGGTGGTTTAGTGTGGAGATCTCATAACCGGCGAAAATTTAATTCCACAAACGTTAACATCCATCTAACTTAATATCCTTTTAGCTCTCATTAGCAAATTTTAATTTGAAGCTGAACATATAGAATTTGATAGAAATCCCACATTAGAAGTTCAATTTTATATCTAATGCCATTWCTCYTGTTTYGCTTATTATGAGCTGAAACTMTGCCTCCCTACTAATGCCGAGATGCTCTTTTCATTTCTGTTTTTTATTTTGACAAAACTGTTCGTTTTAAGGGAGATAGGGTCACGTGACCTGTTAGTAAAAGTCGTCTATTTCAAGATAGACATGATCATCTTCTTTATAGATATGGGCAGACTGGCAGAAGCAAAGTCATGAACACAAAACAGTTTACTTCACGGAACTGAACGAAATTCTTCCAAATGCTGGTGTTTATTCCAAGTTTTACGTTGACAACGATAACTTAACAGACAAGGCAGTGAGAGTCGAATACGCCCCAGTTAACGATAATCTGCTGAACAGTATCTTGATTAGATTGAGAAGTAAGTAGTTTAATTTAATGTTTGCAATTGCATTTACTCAGTCAGGGTTAACGTCAGTCAAGTATCTATAGATAATACATAAATCATTACCAAATCAACTCATAAAATATTCGACACAAAATTTCCACTCTGTATTTAATACAGACACAGCTAGTTTTGCTCAATTAAACATAGAGATGCGGCATGCATAAAAAATAAGACCAAATAAATTGAAACTCTATCTAGAATGGAGAAATGCTTCCCCCAGAGGGACTATTAGCTAGCTTTTCCGGAGTTGCAGAACTTGTTGTACTGTGGGTCTGTGTTAGTGGTCGCCTGCGCACCCGTTATTATGATGTGTGCAGTTATAAAGCACGCGGGGGTTGGCAGGACAATAAGAGAGAAGTGTTAGGAGAAGCACGACGCGTAGTGGAGTGCTTCTCGGCACTTCTCGAGTGTTCTGCCAATCCCCAAGTTCTTTATAACTCCACACAGCACAGCAAGCAAGTTTTTAATTTCTTTTATAAAATGCAGCTTACAATAACCGTTATTTTAGATAGGAATGGCGTTACTAAAAGTGCGCGCGCGTGCTGTGTGCTCTCATGTGCTGTGTGCACGCGTTCCCAACCAATCAGAACGCGAGATTCATAAAAGTTATTTATAAAGTGTCATAATCGCATAATCGTTGGTTGACGATAACGAATCAAGCATTCTTCATTAGCTTATCTTGTTAGATCAAATGATGCATGGCTGTTTCATTGTTATTTAAATATCTCAAGGGTTTCTGGGTCATGTGGCTGCACTCCAAGAATACTTAGGAGAGCTAGAGAGCGTTGGGTGAGGACACTAATAGGGGCTGGGTAGGAGAACTGTTTTAGACGACGCTTTCTTTCTATTGCATGACGTCTTATTTGCTTGTTGATGGCTTTGTAAATACTTTCAGGCTTTAGTGTTCAAATGCTGGGAAGAATCCCCCGTGTAGAGTTCAGTAAGCTGGATGATCGTGCCGTCAAAGTGTTCAGTGTTACTCCAGAAGAAGTGGAGGAAGCCAAGAGACTCGAAGCGTTGTTCAATCCACAAATCAGACAAAGTGGACTTATAAATCCTGATGCTCTGGACCAGAAGCTTGGCTTTAATCACAAGTTACTGGACTACATCAGCAAGAAATAAAATAATGTACCTTCATTATCATCACCACTACCATCACATCATCTACATCAAACCTTAACAACTATATCACTTATCATTCCATCATCATGTACCATCATTATCATTATCATCACCACTTCCATCACATCATCACCATCAATCCTTTAATTACAAATATTTCATCGCAACCACCATCATGTACCATCACGTACCATCATGTACCATCATGTACCATCATGTACCATCATGTAC